ACTACTTTTTAACTGCAGTTAAGGCTAACTACACTTTTATACAACCGGCTTAACTACGTGATTAAAGTTAACTATTTTTTAAGGCTTTTTAACTACTTTTTAACTGCAGTTAGCGCTAACTACGTTTTTATACAACCGGCCCCAGATCGGCATGTTTCCTTCGTGTGTGGATAGTTTTCGTGAGGATTTAGCCTCTTGAGGCAAAGCCTCAGTCTATCGTGTTTGATATATTTCACCTCGCCTGAACGTCTGCGGATGTTGCTGAGTAATTTAAATTAACTAGCTAATGAGAACACATAATTTCTTCACGCGACGTTGTCAAAATGACGACAATGGAGGAAAATACAAACGACTTTATCAATGATGCTGCTGTTAATTAAGTAGTTTTCCCAACTGATGTGTGCGGTGAAAATGCATAGCTGAGCTGGCTGCCACGCGAGGCGGTTAGCTCAGCAAGTTTTTCTTGTGTGCGGCAGGGGAAATTCTGGAGCACAATAAAAAATATATTTCCAACCAGCATGAAAGAGATATCAATAAATACATTAATAAATAAATGCAATAATAATCTTCAGCAAACGATTTTCAAATGCCGCTCGATGCTTCAAAGAAGTGCAATCCCACTTGTTGATTTTGAATGAATGAATGAATGAATGAATGAATGAATGAATGAATGAATGAATGCAAGCATCCCATGCACATGGAAAGTAGTGGTAAAATAGAGGCAGTAAACAGTTCCCAGCTTCGGCCCCTCCCTCGCCACAATGATTTTCATGATACTGAGTTCATATATGCCCTTTCGTGCTTGGTTTGAGAAATTGACACACTAGTACTATAATAATTTATGCTAATAGTTGCATGCTCAATTGGGCTGTACGATAAATGAATGCAAGGTTGAAATATATTTCTCCCCATTTATATGACACTGCCATTTGCTTAACCAAAATTATTAGTTTAGAAAGGTGAAACATGTTGGTGAATCATATCAATTTGATTGGCAGCAATATGTCCATGTAGGCGCAAACACGTCACCAAACGAACCGGTTTTCGGAGTACCGCAAGAATCAATATTGGGGCCCTTACTCTTCATCGTGTTTTACAATTATTTGGCTGAACAGCTCACTAATTCTGGAGTTCAGTCTAAAATATGCGGTTGATACTATTATATACTTCACGGGAAAGGATATTGACACAACAGAAAGGGCACTTTCTCAAGATTTAGAATCAATCGCACATTTTTGTTAATAAAATGTGTTGACGATAAATCTAAACAGAGAGAAACCGAGATAAATCATGCTATTTGGAATGGGAAAAGAGACTTATGTTGCAATCTGACAATCTCAATTTGAAAACTGATGCAAAAGAAGACATGTTTGACTGTGAAAACTGACAACGTGTTTGGATAATAAAGTATATAGCAACTTTCAAGGATATTTTGATATTAATAATCACAATCAGCGTACAACTACAAGGAATAAACTACCCAAAGTTACTAAGCTTGAATACGCGCACCGTCCTTCAAATGCGTTGCTGCAATGGTACCTGGTATAGTAGTTCGAATAGTTAAGTCGCTTACCCGCATTTAAACACTAAATTTCGTTGCACAAAGTCCGTCGTTGTACAAAGCGCTGTTCATCGGTTAAATTTCGGCTATACGTTTTAAAGGAAAAACAATGAGTATTTGAAATGAAATTGGTGGGACAGCGACAAAAATGCAACAATTGAACAAGAAAAATTAGCACCTTTTATTAACAGGCTTGGTTTTAAGGTACTCCGAAGTATAATTAATGCCGTCGCTTTGCTTTTCTTAACAGACTAGTATCCTAGTGTTCAGACGTTAAGTATACAGAATTTGCCGACAAAATCACAACGAAATCCCCTGAAGTAGAATATATATTTGGTTTTACCGTTCCTGATGAAACGAAGAACTTCTTACACGCCTTTCGTTAATGTACATATGTCAATCATCTCATTAAATGTCCAGAAATAACAAAGTGCATGGGCGGTAGAGTATTTTTTTGTACATTCGTTTTCTCAAGCATTCCACCCACAAATTTTGTGGTCTGTTGTCAGGCTAGGAATAAACAGCCGCAAGGAGAGACAGACTTAAGCCGGGAATCTATACGGTGTGAGTACCTCTGATGTTATGTTAAAAATTTGCGCCTCCATTTTACGCTACTCTATATAATTTATGAAATATGGGAGAAGATGTACTAATAATTCGATTGCATGAATCCATGCAGTCCACATTGTGATTATACTAGTGTATTGTCATGCATTTCTCTCAATGGTTCCCGTGGTTCGTTTTATATTGGACCTTCCAATTTCTAACTTCAGTAAATTCCATAGTAGCTCATTCAATGTCTAACGCATGCTGAAGACTAAAAATGCCAAAGATTAAAAATTCTTTCAACAAAAAATGTTCCTAGCAACTCCCAAGGGGTCGGCTGTTGGAAAGCAGATTACCTTAATCCAACTGTAGGTTAATAATGTAAATTTTCCAACAGCTTTTTCTAATTGGAAATATTTTTGTATTGAGTGTTTATTGATGAGTATAATTATTAATAAGTGTTTGAATATTGCTTTAATATAGTTCAGTAAATATTCTGCTTATTAATTGCACTCGCTGAAAACAATCAAGTATCTCTAGGTATATATGACTTAAATTTTATTACTAAAGCGAATTGAAATTGAAAGTAATAAAAATGTTTTTAAATACCCCCTGCATGAGGTATTCAAAATATCTCATTGAATGCATCTTTCCTGGGGCCCGTTTTCCACGGGATAGTATTTTTTCTCAAGCATTCTAAAATTGTCCTTTGGTGTAACCCAGATTAAACGTCAGTATTTATAAATTAAAGTCTCGTTTCGTTAATTGCGTGGTCCATATCCATATTAGTCCGTATAGTGAGCTCAGAGGTGAAAGGCGATTGCTCTCACGACTGCGTCATCGAAGCCCCACTCAGCCAATCAGAATTGGTATATATCCGTATGCTCTTATAGCAATTACAGTGGGTCCATATAACTCTTCGTATTCTCCAATAAAGCATACTTAATGAAGCATTCAACCAAAGATAAACAAAGCTTTATTACTATTCTTTATATAGGGCATATACTAATCATGCAGATATGGAGCGTACTACTTAGTTCAATAAACTTACTGCGAGTATTAATATACTTCCCAAAAGTGTAAAGAAACTAATTCTAGGGAGTCTATATTATTATATATTCAACCGAATACACGCGATCATTGTCTCTCCGTTATACTTATCTGCCATGACTATTCTTCATTATGTTCCAAATGCCATGATAGACGATTTCAAAAATGTAAACTGGTTGCCAATATATGTCACAAAAAATGTAAATGTGGCGTTAACGCTACTGTGAAAGGTATTTTCGACCGTTACGCCCCAGCAGATCGTAAAGAAATGAGGGGGAAACCTTGTCCTTGGCTGAATTCGGAAATTAAGAAAGCACAGCAGTTGAAAATTTACTATCTTTTGGATAGCGCTATATCCAGCTTTCGTACGACCAGCCACTGGTCTTGTTTTCTCAAATCTTGAATGTTAAGATGGAACTTTTAGTAGTACACTTGAAACGATATTTTTATTAAAACATCACTGACCACAAACATGCAATCATGTCAATACGACTTTTTAACTAAAGTTAATAATTTTTGTCAACACATGCACCTGTCATAAACAGAATCATTTGACTGACGATGAATTTGAAATAAATCTAAAACATCATTATTCCAATTTTTTCCTCATTTGTTATCTTGAAAATTTCATGTCATAGTTACAATTTTTATTTGTTTTAATTATATGATTGCCTCAGACCTATCTTGGTTTGTGAGTGTGAGGCAAAGGCCATATATACATACGATTTACGAAGACCAATGCGTAACGCTGACTATAATAGCTATAGTAGAGAAATGTGTTCTTGTACAGATTGAAAGCACATGCAATATAGAATTAAACGATTTTGAACATTGAAGTCATTACTGTCGAAACTAATGGATGGCATTAAAAGTATATACTTACCAATCTCTTGCCTTTGGATTTGCTGACCGTTGACAACAGCACAGGTTAGCTCACCGCACGGGAACGCCTTCACCTTGAACTTTCTTCATCTCATGGGCAATGCAGAAATAATTATTATTAAGTGTACAGTAAACAATCTATTATCTACGTCATTGGTTTATCCAATAACAGAAATATCGCTTGATATCCACGCAGTCAATATTTTAAGATATTCATGCGGGTACCTATAGACGTAGAGTTAATAAATTGATTGAAAAACTACCATGTATTGAAAATTATAATTATCAAAATGTCGATAATGGAGGGAAATGCAAACGATCTTATCAACGATGTTGCTTTTGAATCGTTTTCCCGACTGACGTGTGTGGTGAAAAATTGACTGGAAATGTATAGTGGTTAGCTCAGCAAGTTTCCCTCATGTTCGGCAGGCGAAATTCTGAGTACAATAAAAAATATATTTCCAACCATCATGAAAGGGATACTATCAATAAAAACAAATGCAATTAAGTACTGACCAAAAATAAAGCTAAGATCTTCAGCAAATATTTTACAAACGCCCTGCGATGCCTCATAGAAAGTGCAGTCCCACTTGTGGATTTTGAATAGAAAAACCCGGCGTATTCTTAGGTTTCACTATGGCATTATACGAAATTCCAGGTATTTGCCACCAAACACACATGGCTAATTCATAAAACAAACAATCGATTCACTCTGACAACAGTGTTTTGTTTTAGAGTTGACCCCCGTCACTTTCGTGACGTCATGTGAAACCCAAGAATAGGTGATATCACAGACATGTTCGCGGTATTTAAAATGCAATATATTTCAAGCACGTTCGTATTAAAATAATTGAAGGGATAAAAAGAAACAAAGCCACCGGAGTGGATAATTTACCACCAGGTATGCGGAAAGATTCTTGAGAACATATTTCTATGCAACCATTATACCACAATCTCAATTTATCAATCGAAACATCCAGCATCCTATCAGCAAGGAAAGTAGCCAAATAATTAAATACTAGCTAATTGCTTGCAAGGCAAATTTCTCTCTTTTTATTTAATTTAAAAAAATTAATTTGAATTTAAAAAATTATATTTTATATATTGCGCGTGTTTCAGAGGAAGATGCTTACTCGCGCATTGGAATATATTGACTAATTTAAAAACTGTTCTATAATAAATCAATAAGAACCAAAAGGGCTGCAATGTATTAGTGGTCCTAATTATGACAACATGGAGGAAGTGAGTTTTAAGCATTTTTTAAATGTTGCAACATTGCAGGCGTTACGAATTTCCACTGAGAGGTTGTTCCACAGCGTAGGTGCAGCCATTTAGAACGATCGGTCACCCAGAGTGGTTAATGTAATATCCAAGCTTTATTAACTATAAGTTGTTTTTCAAATACAATAATATCAAGCTCGCCATGCTCTGTTCGCCATGCGGTCTAGCTTATGTCCTCGCAAAGCATTGTTGTATATATACGGTATGTGACGTTGACGTCATCATCACACTCCTCCCTACCTTCGCATTTAATACTTTCTAACTTCAGAACATGCGAAACTATAACTCAAAAAAATTTTAATAGTACCTGGACCCTATTTGCCAGTTCATAAGTTAATGACTGAGAATTGCCGAGTCCGGATCATGATAAAAGTTTGTTCGTTGTCTATCCCTTGCAGGGTACCTTCTTGCATCCTCTTCGTTTTCTTGATCCTGTTCGTTTCTAAGCTATCTCATCCTCTTCTTCATCTGACGGTTGATCATCAAAATGGTATTGTCGCTCTTTTTCACCAAGGTTAAGACGCTTGAAATAGAATATGTTTCTGGTAATTTGATGAGAGTGTCGTTGGGCTGTAATTGTGGCACCGTGGACTTTAATCACTTTGTAAGGGGCTGGATTGAATTTTGTTGAAAACTTGTTCTTCTTTTGTTGTTTATATATAACCAAATCACCAACGTTAATCAGAGTCTTCTTTGTGTGCCTCGCCTGATCAGTATACCTTTTCATTTGACTTTTGGAGTTGTGATCATTCTCTTTTGCCATGATATTGCTTGTCGATTGGTTTTGATGAAGTGTATTGTTGTGGTAACTTGGTGCGAATTGTTCTGTTAAACAGGAGTTCGGCTGGGGCAACTTTTGTGGTGCTGTGGGGAGTCGCTCGATAATTCAGGAGGAAGGTGAATAATTCTTTTTTTCAATTTCGGCCCTCTGTTCGAGCTGTTAGAATGGACTTAAGCAATGGTTTCATGAATGACTCCGCTTAATTCTGAGTTGCCCTGTGGCCATAAAGGGGTGACTGTTACAAACTCAATGCCATGGATCTCCATGTATCGCCTGATTTCCTGTCCGTTGAATGGAGGGCCATTGTCAGATACAACTTTGTATGGAATTCCATGCGTTGAGAATATTCTGTCCAGCTTCGGGATGAGTGCTGCTGCTGATGTTAAATGTACGACTTCGACTTCCGGGTACCGGGAATATGCATCAATTGCAACAAGTATCAGCTCTCCGGTCGGAAGTGGACCTAGAAAGTCTATGTGCACTGTATGCCATGGTGTTGGTGGCATCTTTGACATTTTGAGTGGTACTGGAGGGTGAGCTGGAGTGGTGCTTTGGCAGGAGATGCAGGCATCGATGATCTTTTTCACCATGGAATCAATTGATGGGAACCATATTTTCTCTCGAAGCAACTGCTTAGTTTTGGTTAAGCCTTGATGGCCTTCATGGGCCAGATCGATGGCTTGTTTTCTCAGGGATGTTGGTATAACTATTCGGGTGGATTTCAGAAGCAGGTCATTATCTTTACTAGCAGTCAACTCGGTTCGGATGCTATGCAGAATACTAAGTTCCTGGTTGTTTATATTTGGATCTGTCAAGTTGATTGCCTCATGCCAATTTTCATTCTGAATATATTTCATAGCAATCTGCAGGGTTGCATCTTCTTTCATTTGCTGTTTAATTTCTTCCAGGCTGATGGACTTGGGAGTAGTGTGCTGTGCAATGAAGGTGATGTACTCTTCTGCTAACTCGCCTTGACGATGTGTTGCACTTGTGTTCAGGGGGTGTCGAGACATATAATCTGAGGGATTGTCCTTCCCGGGGCTATATTGGACCCGAAAACAGTATTTGTGAAGACGTAGCAACCATCGCTCGATCCGTGCAGGAGGCTTGGACTTAGGCTTATTGCAGATCAACTCTAATGGTTTTTAATCTGTATACAGGACAAATTCTGTTCCATATGTATAAATATGAAATCTTTCCATTGCCCAAACAATGGCGAGGGCTTCACGTTCGGTTTGACTGTATCTTTGTTCGACGGGACTGAGTGCTCGACTTGCATAGGCAATCACTTTGTGGTCTTCGTTTCATGGGGTATGCTGCTGTAATATAGCACCCAAACCAGTTGGACTGGCATCGACTATGAGTTCTGTGCATTTGGTAGTATCAAAGTATGCCATAACTGGAGCTGAAGTCAGAGCTTTTTTTAGTGTTTTCCTGGCATTTTCATGGACTGGTAGCCACTGGAACTTCGCATTTTTCTTTGTGAGTTGTCGAAGGGGCGTTGTAATGCTTGCATAGTTTGCAATAAACTTTGAACAGTAATTCGTCATACCAGCAGGCTGCGAACTCCACTCACATTGGTTGGACGGGGAGCATTGACGATAGCTGCTATTTTCTTTGGGTCCGGGCTGACGCCATCTGCAGAGAAAATCATGCCAAAGAACTCCAATGTACCCTTGTTATAAGCACATTTTGGTTTGTTGAGGGTGAGGCCGACTTGTCGCAGTCGTTCAAATACAGCTTTAAGCTAGGGCTGTGTCATGATCAAGCTGTGATTTACCGAATATGAGTATATCGTCACTGATGTTGACAACTCCGTCAATGAATCCCAGTCAATGACAGCAATGGCTTGGCTTATAGCATACTGGATAACTTCTGAGGCTGCTGATGTGCCATAGTTAAGTCGGACATAGCGGTGCAGTCCTTTATGGGTACGAAAGGTCGTAATGTAACGAGACTCAGGAGCTAAGAGAATTTGGTGGTATCCGTGGCGAAGATCGAGTTTTGAGAAGACTTTTGCGCTATTTAGCTTGTGGATAAGTTCGTCAGCAGTAGGCATGGGATGGCGCTCACGGATTATCGCTGTATTGGGCATACGCATGTCAACACATATTCTTGTTTCTTCTGGGTTCTTCGGTTTTAGTACTACAACTAGGGGCGAGACCCAGGGAGTTGGGCCAGAACAGGGCTCGATGATGCCTTGCTCTGTTAACTTGTCCAGTTCGTGAGTTACTTTCTCCCGGATGTGAAATGGTATACGCCTTTCTGGTTGCGCAACTGGCTTGACGTTAGGGTATATGTGTAGCTTAAGTTCGAAGTTTTTCAGGCACCCAATTCCTCTGAATAAGTCCACGTACTCATTTGTCAGACTTTGAATGAATTCAGTGGCTTCTGCCTCAGGTGTGAATTCGTTTGGCACTTTCACAGTTGTGTTTACTTTTGTAGTTGTGTTTACTTCCGGTTTGTCTTTGTTTACATTGTGTATGTTCAATGTTATTAATCCGAGTTCTGCTGCAGTTTCTGAGCAAAGTAAGTTGCCATTGTCCCCTTTTGCGACGTGAGATTTGGCGGTTGTCATCTTTGTCTTCGATTCGATTATTTCTTCGAATACTCCCAGAATAGGAAGCGGCGATTGTGCAGCATACGCATATATTCGTGCTTTTGAACGATGTATTTTAATAGGTTTTTGTTTACATAAGTGTTGAAATGTCGGCTCGTCTATAATGTTGATAGACGCCACGGTGTCGATGAGTGCTCGAAAATTCGTCCGATTGATCTTTAATTTGGCAGTCAAATTGTCCTTGGACGCAACTACTGAGCTTGTGTTCACCGTGTAGATGATGTATTCATCTTCCGAGGATGAGTTGCTTTCATCGTCAGTATGCTGTCTATTAACAGTGTTAATTGACGAGTTGTTGAATTGGCGTGATGAGCGAGAAAATTTATTTTGATCTCGATTTTGACTACTTGCAAAATGATTCATCTTATGACAAAACGAGCATTCGTTGCCATACGCTGGGCAGCTATTGTTCTTGTGGGAATAATCTAACCCGCAATAATAACACTTGCGTTTCACTGTTTCCCGACGAGCGTACGGCGGTTGTTGGCGTTGTTGATGTTGAATCACATTCACACTATCGTCGATTTCAGTGGGGAGTTTTTCGTCGATCTTGATAGCTGTGAGGGATTTCTCGATGCCTTTAGCTTGTTTTTCGGGATTTCTCGATGCCTTTAGCTTGAGTCACAACTATAGTCCTAACACTGGTGTGAACAACATGGCGACTATGCATGAGTGTGTTGCTACAAACACAAATAATATCAGTCAGAATCACTTTTGTATGGTCTTTTCAAAGTTTTAAGACTATCTAGCACGTAATGTGCGATTGTGAGAATTTGAAGCATTTTATGGCAGAATTATATGATGCTGGAGGTGTCTGGAACTCGCCCGGGGGAAGTGCTAAAGTATTTCTTTATGATCAAATCAAGCTTACATGGTATGCGGACAACAACTCTATGATATTTAAAGGTGTTGGTGGCCAAATTCTGGAACGATTGGTTGTTTCTACGCTAGAAACTGGCGTGCTAGAAACTGGCGTTTTATTAACAAACGTGCATAGTAACGGCGATCTTGAGTTAAACACATCAAATATTGAAGTTTGTGATAAAGACAAGGTCGAAAGCTACTTTAAAGATTGTTCTTCTCAAACGGTGAATCATCATGAAAGATGCACGAATTGTGACCGATTATCAACAGAACTGACTACTGCTGCTGCTGCTGCTGCTGCTGCTGCTGCTGCTGCTGCTGCTGCTGCTGCTGCTGCTGCTGCTGCTGCTGCTGCTGCTGCTGCTGCTGCTGCTGCTGCTGCTGCTGCTGCTGCTGCTGCTGCTGCTGCTGCTGCTGCTGTAAAGAAAATTGATGGATTATATGAGACTGTGAACAAAATCTTCGAGTTGGTATGTATGAAATCAAACTCAACATTACTCACTGGCACGATTATGCATGACCTCAGGCTAAATACAGATTTTAGTTCTGCTGAAGATACAAACAGTAATTTGCGAACTGTTTGTGAACTGTCTACAGATCTCGAAGGAGTTAAGTTGGATGCTGTTATTACGGAGTCTAAACTTTCTAAAAACATCCATTCAAACCACGAAAATCTTAAAAAAAACATGAAATTGATTGATAAATTCTCTCATGAACTGGCTATTATGCAGTGCGAACAACAAGATTATTTTCGAAAAATTTCTAAACATGACTTAGCAATTAATCAATTAATTTTTAGAAACTATTCAAAGTGAGCAAGGAAAACACAATCAACAAATTAGTGAAGAATACACAAGTATTGAACAAATAAGAGAAGGATTAGCCGTTATGCATGATGAACATGTTTTGAATCACTCAAGCAAGTACTCGTCAGAAATAATACAAAGCAAGGAAATAAAAAATGTAAACGTTAACAGCACCTCCAGTCATGTAATTATTGTACATGACACAACCTCCTGGGCTATGGAAACAATACCCAATCAAGACAAACAATATGACTACAATGTCCATTGCCCGGTCGGTAATAGCGATCGACCTTTAACAGAGATCATCGAACTGTGTGAAGATGTAATTAGTATTGATCCAGATAATAGTTTAAACAAAACCCTGCAGGAAAACTGTTCATTACTTAAAACCCTAACAGAAGACCAACAAAGTGTTACATTAAAATCAACCCACTGTAATGAAGCAGCGGAATCAGGTTGTGAAATTAATACTATTACTAATGTAGCGAATGGCGAATCTCTTGCTCCCGAAACATACCAATCGAACGAAGAATTGTCCCATTCCATGCCAGCGAAAACAGTTAATTTAAGTTTAAAAACGCAATCAGAAAAATCGGGTCCCTCCGAACAGGTCAGGGCAAAAAGCAGTGAATTAGTTTTCGGACAAACGCCAAAACAAAACACCGCAAATAAGGTCAAAGGTCACAAGTCAATCAAGTGCACAAAACGTTTATCGAAGAGATATATTACGACAACAATATATCTGGGCCAATCGATAAAAGTGAAATAAATTGCAACCTAGGGGTGCCTATCAGACATGCGGAGTGGGTGGGACGGCTACCTTCGATTGAATCTTCATATAAGTCTGCATCGTTAAGAAAATCTACGACTTTAAACGATTTCCAGCGATCGTGTAAGAGAAATTTTCGCAAGAGTCGTTCAAACCACCGTCCCCGGGACTGGCAGAGGTACCTCGAATTTGTTCGGAAAACGTTACATCCTCGTGTGACTCGGCCTCCAATTCGCCTACGAACAACAAAGTAATTCCTATTGTTATGTCACAATGTCGGACCATAAGTCATCGCATTGCAAGTTACAATAAAATACGTAAACGAACTAGTAATCCATGCAACCTGGTAAATGTCCCTGTAACTACTAGTAACCTGGAAAATCACCGAGACTACTGCGCTGTTCCATCTCTCTTTGTTACCAATGCCTGCCACATAGCTAACAAGGTGGACGAACTGTCTGCAGTGGAATTCAACCAGATCTTCCCAGACTTCAAGCGGTAGAGCATTTGCTCAAGGACAGCCACCCACCTCTACCATCCATTGGCCAAGTCAAAACCGTCCTAAAACACCTAAATCCTAGTAAAGCCACTGGGTCGGATAATATCCCTGCATGGTGTCTTAAACGGTACGCAGACGAATTAGCACCAGTGGTCCACGATATTGTGGTTGCAAGCATAGTTCAATGCAAATATCCCACCTCCTACAAGCATGCAATCATTAGTCCCATACCAAAGATCCGTCCACCCACAGACCTAGATAATGACTGCCGCCAAGTTTCCGTGCTACCACAACTAGCAAAAGTTATCGAGAAGCTACAGCTGCAACTCAATAAATCCAGTTTCAAGATCAAAACAAACCAGCACGCCTTTACGAGCGGTCACTCCACCGTGTCTGCCCTTACCTCCATATCTCAGAACTGGTTCGACTCAACGGACAACTCCTCAACCGGTAGACAAGGTGTCCACGCCCTATTTGTTGATTTCCGGAAGGCGTTTGACTTAGTCGACCATAAGATCCTTCTGGACAAGCTGCTGATATGAGTGTAACAAGGAGTTTCTGGTTATGGATAAAGAGTTTTCTGGAGGGAAGAACACAACAGGTAAATCTCCAAGGTGTACTATCCTTTACTGCATCATGCCCAGCCGGCGTCCCTCAGGGATCTGCTATCTCGCCGACCCTATTCAACATACATATTAACGATATGGAGGAAAATGTTTCTGAACAGGCATGTGTCAACACAATCAAATAGGCGGACGATTGCACCATGGATACGTCCATAAGATTAGGAGAATCTAGCGATTTGCAAAGCGCTCTGGACTCAGTACAAAGTTGGGCTGTGGAAAATAAAATGGAACTGAATGCCAAAAAGACAAAAGATATGTGGATTAACTTCACCGAAGCACCGCCCCCTCTACTACTGCATATAGGAGATGCTATCATAGAAAGAGTCGATAATTTTAAACTCTTGGGAACCTGGTTTCAAAAGGACCTGAAATGGAATAAACATGTCGAGGAGACCACCCGCAAAGCAGCTAAAAACCTGTACTGCCTACGAGAATGTAGAAGAGCGAATCTACCAGTCGAAGTGGGTCTCACCACTTATTTAACTAAAATCAGGCCTATCCTTGAATATTGTTCTCCAGTGTGGGGTGGTCTGCCACGATATCTAAAGGACGAATTGGAACGTGTGCAAAGGAGGAGTCTACGAATTATTGGCCTCCCGCATGGTTACCTGCCATGGTTACCTGCCTTCCCGGTGATCCAAGTCATATCTTCTATCAACGAACTATGGAACATAATAAACATAACTATAATCTTAGGCGTAGAGACGGTATATTTAAATACGCACCTTTCTCAGGCACTGAACGACACAGAAATAGTTTTGTCCCACGAGCAATAAGACAGGGGTTGCACTAAAACCAAACTTGGTTTTTATTAACTTTTTAAATAATTTCCTAGACTTTTAAATTTTTTACTCCAAATTGTATATATGTAAATTTTAGATAGTTTGTAAATATATTGCATGCTTAGTTATGCTCTTCTCTTTTAATAGACATATTTGTAAATCCATTGTATTTTTAAACTAAAGATGGATCAATAAAATCATCATCATCATCATTCCAAGGAACGACCTTCAGCGAGTAAGGCACTCAGAGTAAGCGTTGAATCACGAAGCGCTTTTCTCCGAAGACGCGTAGAAACGCAGCTTTGTATGATTTGTGTTTTAATTTCACGATCAGCATCGGTAAACTCGCATGTTGTAGCAAGCTTTCGAAGGCGCGTGTGGTACTGATCCAATGTTTCGTCAGTCGTTTGTCGGGCTTGGCGAAATATATAAATCTCATATTCGAGGTTTTTCTTTGGCATGAAATATTCTGTCAGTTTTTCAACCGCTGTTTTGAAGTCGTCGTCACCTCCAGTATTAGCTAGCGTTTCAAATATTGTTTGTACTTGGGGCCCAGCCATGTATAGAAGAAGGGCTCGTTGTTGTGTTTTATCGGTGATTTTTCCAGCTCGAAGATAAAGGTGAAATCGTTTAAGCCACTGTTCCCATCGTGTCGCTAAACTGCTGTAATCTACATAGGATCAAACTGTGGCATCGATGGAAGGTCTACTCTTGCAGCCATAGTAAACAATATTTAAAATCCTCGTCGCCAAATGTAATATCCAAGCTTTATTAACTATAAGTTGTTTTTCAAATACAATAATATCAAGCTCGCCATGCTCTGTTCGCCATGCGGTCTAGCTTATGTTTTCCCAAAGCATTGTTGTCTATATACGGTATGTGACGTTGACGTCATCATCACAGTTAATTAATGTTTTTGTTCACGGTTTCTCAAGCAACAGTTCAGTTGATGATCGTAGATTGTAACTGGATGCAGCCTTGAATTTGATGAGTTCCGAAATATATTCAGGAGCGAGACCATTAATTGCCTTTATGTGACACTGCCATTGGCTTAACCAAAATTACTAGTTTTGAAAGGTGGAAATAATTTATTTTGAAAATGTTTTGGTTTTCTACAGTGTCGCAGTGATAAGCGTGCCCACGTGATTTTCAAAGCAGAGTAACGCTCGGTCTGACCGTTGCATATTTGCGCAATTTTTCTTTAATAGAGAGTTTAAGCTTCGCGTTATACGTGAAACGACAAACGCCCAGCAAAGAAAAATTTTACGCTATCAGGCAATAAAGAGCAAATGAACTTGCTGTTTTAAACTGAATATATATAATTATTCTTTCGATGCAAGAAAGAAAATATGAAACGAAAACGTTCAACGAAAATTTTGCCCAGAAAGTTCGAACCTGCCGTTTGCCGTTCCCGGAAACGCACAGCTCAAACTCCCTAATTACAATACCATATCATTACAATACCATATCATCCTCAAGAATTTTTCAGTTAGGCATGTAGTAGACGACCTGTCGTATATGAGTTTGTATGCATTTCATTATGGACAGATAATTTCAACTGTTTTAGGGTATATTGACCATGGCGGACAACATGGCATATGTGCCAAAGCCCGAATGCGGGATGAAATATTCCAAAATGACTACACGCAGAAATGGCGCTTGCGACATAGCCCTATCTACTAAATCATTGAAGCTATACACATTTTTCAAGTTCTTATGGTGTTCAGAATGGTTCCTTTTAGGGGTGGTCATTTGGGAGTGAAAAATGTCTACTTCTAATATTATACAAGAAAATGAGCATTCGCCATCATTTGAATTACAGCATGCCGATTTCTAAAGGTTTCTAAAGATTTCAATTATTTAATGCCGACTTCCCAAGGTTTACCACCGATAACAATTTTCAAACATGAATCAAACATGAATCAATCGGTTGTTCTAATAGCGTTTTTAAACGCTAAAAGTCGCGTTTAAAAACGCTATTTAAAAACACTACTAGTCGTTTTTTAACGCGTTTTTAAACGACTTAAAAGTCGCTAACCAAGCTATTAAAATTTTAACGCTTGATAAATTGCGTGGCCATCCGTTTAAAACAAAACAATGAGTATTTGGGATGAAATGAAGTTGATAGTGACAAAAAGGCAACAATACTGCTAGGTACGTACTATTTAAAACATGAGTAGGAGTGTTTTATGAGATATAAAACGCAAGGCAGCCGAGCGTTTTATATCTTATAAAACACGACAACGAGTGTTTTGAATAGCTTAAAACACAATTATATAAGAATACTAATTAGGATGATCAATTGTATAATAAAGTCACTCCACGTGACATATTATGGCTGACATGATTTGCCACAAGGTTTATGAATTATTAATGACTATTTTAAGGTGTTTAAATCCAACGAACGAGGAAAACTTCCTTTTATTACAGGTTTGGTTTTGATGTACATCGAGGTATAAATAATGCCGTCGGCTGTCGCTTTTCTGTTTTTTACGAGATCAAGATCGGTGTCAGTGTTTAAGAGGCTGTCTCTGTAAGAACCGGGCACTCAGTTCTGGAAGGAAATATAAAAGTCTTCAAATTTTTCACAATAATGAAAGTCTTCAAATTTTTCACAATAATTTTCCTTTCAGATAATTGTATGAAAAAAGAAATCGGTTTGCGTTAAAAAACTTTTTTTGTAATCTTGATTTTTGATTGATTTTTGACACCTTGACGATCCAAAATGGCGGGCCGAAACTGCCGTAAATAGCTGATTTTCGTACGACTCTCGCGAAGCATGCAGGTAAGTGAGAGTCTTATGTATCAAAACAGTTTAACAATCAGTACTTATGGTTTCTAACGACAAATAATTGGGGACATTTATCCAGGATTAATTTGAGGAGAAATAATTTTCCGGAAAAGAGACACTTTTACTAGTTTGCAAAGTCACACATTATAAGACAAATTAAATAGCAATTTTCGTACGTTTGGCACCTTATATGAAGTAGAAATTACTACCATTGCAAACCTAGAGTTGTGTTTTTTAACGGGAATGGTAAAATATTTGGGCACTTGACGGGCACAGCCATAAATCATCTACAAATCACGACGCATGTGTGGCAAACGTAATTTTTCTTGAAAATCCTCACCCAGCGACATTGCTTGAAAAAATAACTTTAAAGTCAACATTTATTTTGCTTTTGTTTATTAAACGTTGAACAGCCGTAATTAATACGCAAATATTTTTCTATCGCGCTTGGTCATTTAGTTTTGTTTTTATTTTTACCGGTGGTTCCATGTTCATTGCAGGGCGTGCTCAAGTTATGAACATCTTATATCGATTAGCAACGGCTTGAAATATCGATCGGCGAATATAATACAGGCATTTGTTTAAACTGTAAAACTTGTAACAATCTTTAAGTTGCTATATTAAATAAATGTAAAAATTTATGCTACATGCTAATTAGGTCGAGCATTGTCAGAAACCAGAAGGTGTCAATTTCTCTGCTGAATATTTCGACGCGTGGTATATCAATAAACAATTGCTTTCTTATTAAAGCTATTAATAGCAATAATTATAAACGCACGCCTATATTATATTCCACCTACTTTCGGCATTCACTTGAAAGTTTTAGTGACTTGAAGATTAATATTTGGCTTTCATGCGGATTAGGTTTTAAGATGTCTTCCATGTGTTCATTTTCCACTCGTATAAAATCTGAATACGGCATACATTGTAGTAGTGTGGAGAATGTTATGTTGACAAAATGTAAAGACGACATTCGCGGGCATCTTTCAAGCTGCCACTTGTCTTGGGAAAATATCGAAGAGTATGAATTAATCTTAGCGAGTGCTGGGTTTGATATTCCGGAGTCAACTGGAGAGGATGTTTGTTTCCCTCGTCATAGAAACGCCTTGGGGAAGGAATGGCGTCCTCTTCGTTCGTGTCGGTATCCAACTCATCCATCCTATAAGAAAAAAGTGAAAGGTTCCCATGTTGTTCAGCTAAAGCTTGCAAAAGAAGACCATAAAATAGGGCTGTGGAGTTGTAGAGCTGTAGAGCTGTAGAGCTGTAGCATTGTTGAGCTGTAAAGCCGCAGGGCTGTAGAGTTGTAGGGCTGTAAAGTTGTAGGGCTGTAGAACTGTGGTGTTGTAGAGCTGTAGAGTTGTAGAGCTGTAGAGTTGTAGGGCTGTAACTTTGTTGGGCGAACAGTGACAAAATTCGCCATGATTACAATTTTCAATTTGTACTTTAGACGAATGCCAAAAGTTGGTGGAATATAATATAGGCGTGCGTTTATAAGTAACAATTATTCGCCGAAGGTGAGGTGCTTATCGGGGAATATTGCCCGATAATCACCGAGCCTGAGGCGAATAATTGTTTTAGTATTTTGACACAAGCCTTTTGTGTTTTTTGGGACTGAATTTATTTTAATTTCGCTTATTTCTTTATCGGTAACTTCCACAAAACGACTAGCCGCCATTTTGTAAATTTCGGTTTTTGTTATATTTCACGTGGCGTCATGATTCGGGGCTTAACTTCATAGCATCCATACTTAAATCTGTGAACCATTGTAACCTTTATGCTGACCTTCCAGGCTATATCAGTCCATCTGTTCTCACCGGATCGAGATGAATTGCGCCCTGATCTTTTGATAACACTTGAAAACAAATGTATTTATATACTTGAACTTACCGTCGGATTTGAATCTAATCTCCTCACTAATGCAACTCGAAAAAGACAAAAATATCAAGATCTAATTAACGAACAGCTCAAAAATTATGAAAAAGTGAAATTTTTAAATTTATCGATTAGCTCATTAGGAGTTTTCAGCCACCCGTCGCTAGATTTCACCGAAATGCTGAAGGATCTAAAGTTTGATGAACAATGTAGAAAGTACTATGTTCGGAAAATTATTAACATATGTATCAGGTCCTCGTATTATATATTCTGTAAGCGTAACAAAGAATGGGATAACCCACAACTATTGTCATACTAATATTGTTATTATGTAGAGTGTTAATTCAAGTAGACACTGGTAAACTACCTGTAAAGAGAGGTTTATCATTGTAGTGTATATATATATATATATATATATATATTATTGAAAGTAATAAAGTTTCCATTATTATTATTATTATTATTATTATTACTGGAAGTATTCCCCGCAGGGCTTTTCAATACTTATATACAAGTGATACTTTTTACAGATTAATTAATGTTTATAAAAATAATTACAAAAGGAATTTATAAAAAGTTTAAATATAGCACAATAAAATAAATTTCAATAAGAATAAGTTTCTTGCATGCATGTTGAACTAGTGTTTATATATACTATAAATATTCAAGTTTCAAAATATGGATTTAGTAAGAACTCTTTTAATTTGATTTTAAATGTTGCTAATGGAAGTTTTTTCAACTCATTGTCTAAACTATTCCATAACCCAACAGCTCTATATCGAAAACTTCTTTGTCCTGTTGTGGTTGAAAATAACAGGAATATGTAGTGCTTCATTGTTTCTTGTGGCGCGATTGTTTAGTTCCTTACGTTTAAGAAATAGGTCGCACAGATATGTT